GTTTTTGATGTGAGTTTTTGATCTCCACATCACTAGTGAACTCAAAGGACAGATAAAGGCAGTAGGGTTGATACAGGGGGCTGCTAGCTTTGATCAAATTGTATAAGCTCCTTTACAAACTGATTATTGTGCTTGAGCAACACACACAGTTAAATTAGAACACAGTGCACCATGGCTAGAAAACAGCATAATATGGACATTTCTTCTGTCAACCTATTATGTTTCAATCGTGTACCCAGGATTAGATGATCCCAGTTTGATCACCACAGCACTATATACTATAAGGCCAAAATGGCTAATTTAATAAGAAAACTAAATGTATAAAAAAAAACTGTGGGAAAGCTGTACAGAACCCAACTATGACCATGTTGTTTAACCAGCTATTACTTTTACTTTAATTAATTCAACAAAAATGAAATCACTTCTAGGAATGACTTTGGCATACATTACGATGAATATTTTGATCAGAACCATTCCTATGTTGTCTATGAACATATGTTATTGTAATTTCATATTTCACTATGGTCCTACAAAATCCCTCCATAGACTGGGATAGGTATTTATCTGCTTAATATCAATCTGGACTTAGTCCTGCCCTGACTCCACTGACACTTTGCTAATCTATTTTGCTATGAGAAGGATGTCACTGTAAGAGTAGTTTTAAAGACCATTTATCAGTTTACAGTTTTTTAGCAGCTATCAATTATTGGGCTTGTCATTATAGTGAAATGATACTCACCCTCTGCTAAAGGGTCTAATGTGTGGATCATTAGTTGGAAGATGGTGTTTCTCATGGTGCTGTTGTGTAAAGAAGCTGAACTCCCCCCTCGCTGAAGGGGCGGTTTTAACTGGGAAAAGAGACCCAGGATTATTAACATGGTAACATGATAAATGGCACAGTAGAAAAATATACTATTTAATGTGAAATAACATATAAGTAAATGGTCTGACATGAACTGTGAGTAATGGTTTGTTGATTTTTACCTTTAATCGATTCATGTCCTCTGGGGCAGGAGGGGCCTTATCTTCACTATCCACATTTGTCTGTGTACAAGTCTTTTCAGTGTTAACAGATAAACCAAGGTTATTTCACACATTGCAAACTCTGAAGGTCTTGTGACTGTTACATGCCACTAAAAAAGATGTGGCTTTCTGTTTCAGTAATAAACAACACTGTGATGAGGATGAGTTACTTGTTGTAACAAGTAATTATGCTAACTGTTATTAACCCATCAGGGTTTCTTCCACACTTGAGAAAACGGCCTGTGATGCTGTGTAAATGATTTATAACAAACTCATTTTTGTGTCAATTGAGGACAATGAAAATCAGATTATATACCAGGTTCATGTTTTGTTTGTTGTTTTAGTGCTTACCTTTTCAAATTCCTCCACAGCAATAATTTTGATAATGTTGTTGTGTTTGAGGAGCTGGGTCTTGAAAGCCCACTCTAACTGCACATTGAACTTCATGAAAATCACATAGAGAGTGTAGCTGGCCACCAGCATCATGCTCTCCCACCATATTATGACATTATCCAAGAAGAAGATGATGAGCAAGCTGAGATCAAGTATGTAGAAGGATACATCTCTGAAAAGTGGCCACCAGGTTAGATGAAGTATCTCCCGAGAAAACAAAGCACATGTTTAAATCTGTGGGCGATAAAGACCCCTATCAAGGAGGTAAAAAGCTCCGGAGCAGAACCTCCAGCAGCCATGAAGGTGGCTCCTGCCACATCATCAGAGATGGCTAACTTGTCCGTGATTACCCCTAGAGCAGGCACAAAGAACTCATCGCACACAATTGCAAGTGACACAAACATGTACATCATCCCAATAATGTGAAGGATCACCCAGCCTCGTCTACGGTCTTCAACAGAAAAAATATCTTCAGGGTATTCACCCTGAATACGTCGGACTTCCCCAGGAGAAGCTGATGTAATGGTAGTTACAGGAGGAGATGGAGCTGGTGTGTGTGTCTCCTCTGGTGGCTCAGGGGCAACGTAGATGCAGTGTACAATAGTCCAGTTTGTGGCTGGGAATGGTGGAGATTCAGTGAAGGTGGATGCTTTAGAATTTGAAGTTGGATCTAGATGATGTAGCACATGCAACTCAGGTGTTGTTTGATATGTGGGATCTAATTCTGTTGAGGTGAGAGGTTCCTCCAGACCCTGAGTTTCTACTGTAGCCTCATCAACCCACTCTGTAGAACTTTCTTCAAACTCTTCTCCAATCTGAGGCACTGGCAAAGGCTCATACAGTCTTGCACTGATGGTCAGCTGGTAGAGGGTGCAGAGGAAAACACAAGAGAGGAGAAAAAGGATCCGGCTCAGCTGCAGTCGCTTCCTTCTTGTACAATACATTTTCTTCCAACGCATAGTTGCTACTGGCTATGCTGAATTAAGATGCATAAATGGGCTTGGATAAAGGACAAATCCAGCTATCTCCCCAGTAGACCACGAGGGCAACACAGTCCAAAACTTGAGCAGCGTGATTCATTTCACATCCTTGGCTCCTTCAAAAACACAACTAATTGTAAATGGAAGGAAACATCAGAGATAAAATTACATTTAGACAGCAGGTAGCACACCAGTAGAGTATCTGAACTGTTCATACAAGGCATTTCATACATACAGTCTGTCATACCAATATCAAAACAGTTAGAAACAGTTATGACTACTTTTTATTTTACACTTGGCTGGTTGTCTGAGAAAGATAATGTCTGACAGACAGAAAAGACAAACAAAAACCTCAAGTAAATGCAATATATTAATGCACAAACTAAATCTGGCTATAACTAATTTCCTTGTCAACAGCAACAGAACAAAATGATGCCTTGCCTCACAAATGCAGACTCACCACAGAATGAAAGTCTTGAAAAGTCAAGGTTGCAAAAATCAGATGTTCACAGCTGGATATTGTTGTGCAAACAAAAGCCCAAACTCGTTACCAGTGGCCAAAGGGTTATGTAGGACGCAGGACAAGCCTTTACAATGGATCAGCCTAATAGCCTACCTAATACAGTTCCTAAAGTCTTCAAAGAGGATTATGTACCTTGTCTCACTCTCACTTTATCATGAGCCTACAATAGCAAAATGCAATCTAAATCAAATAAAAGTGGCGCTTTAGTCTATTACTATATTGTATAACTATCAATATTTTTAGCCTAAGACTGACACTTGGAGATTGTATGGGATGTATCATAATTTGAACTGCAATGGCTAACTTTAAATTCCAGTCCAGAATGTATAATGCAAATATGCCAGTATCATTACTGTTGAAATTATGCTGCTGCTGACTTTTTCTGCTTTTTCTTTCAGCACAGAATTGTTTTGTTTTTTTTTGTTTTTGTTTTTTTTTTTTACTACGTGTAATGCATAGGAACGATTAATTCCAAGGCACAGTGCTTTCACCCGGACGGAGACAGTGGTGCACATTTTAAAACAAACATTACACTGTGACCGGAAACATCGAATGGCAGGTATATAAATGTAATTTTTGGTCTTGGTAATTATTCCTTTTATAGTTTAGCTTGCGAATAGGCATCTTATGACATCAAATAAAAAGTAACTGGAACATTTATTCTTTTCCGTTGCAGAACCCTAGCTTACTTTGGTCGAACAGCTAGCCAACATTAGCCAACAGCCCTCAGCTAGGACATGTTCTTACTAGTTTTTAAACATTAATATATGGTGTTTGATTTAAATGAATTCCAGCGTAACCCTGGTAGTGTAATACCGGTGCAGGCATCGATACATTTACTAGCTTATAGCATAGTAAACGAAATAGCTGACGAGTAATCCTTTAAACACTTTCTCCTAGCACCAACTTGTGCCTGTATGTATATGTATTACTATATGTAAGCCGGGGCTAATGCTCTCCATAAACAGAAGGAACACCTACTAATTGCTACAATTTGTGCTGCTGGACAAAAAAAAATCACATTTATTCTCTTTACTTTCAGTGGGAGCACACTGGAGGGAACTGGAGTCCACTGTATTGTTGGGAAACTGTAGAAACACTGAGCCATGCCTACTGTGATCTTAATGGACGTGTCTCTGTCCATGACACGACCAGTGCCTCTGGATGGCAGCGAAGAGTTTCAGAGGAAGAACCTGGCTGTCCACGGCCTCAATATGTTGTTTGAGCACATGGCCTCAAACTACCGCTTGGAGTTCACGGCACTGATGGCCTTTTCTTCCCTCTGGGAGCTCCTGGTGCCTTTCACCAGAGATTACAATGCATTACAGGTAAAACGTGGTTCTTGTGAGAAGTCAGTCTGAAAAGTCAGTAAGTTGGTGTCTGAGTGTGACTTTGGAGAAGAGTTTAGGATTGTCTAATTCATGCCTTTTTCTGTGCAGGAGGCTCTGAGCAACCTGGAAGATTATGACAAGACTTGTGTTGAATCAGCTCTTAATGGCGTTAGTAATGTAGTACAACAGGAGTGGGGCTGTGCCAGTACCTGTCAGGTATTTTGACAAGCCATTTACACAGTATCAGTACACCTTTGATTTAAATAAAGATGGTGTATGGTCAAAACATTTTCCATTGCAATTTCAGCCATGTTTACATATTGATTGTCACATAGTGTTAGGCTTAGGTTTATGTTCCTCCTTCTTGTGTCCTGTAGGTGGTGCTGGTTACAGATGGATCTCTTGGTATTGGAAAGGGTTCCCTTCGTCACTCCCTCCAAACACTGAAGCAGCGTGGGGATGACAAGAAATTCCCACTCCCTTTCCCTTTCCCAACAAAACTGTTCATCATATGTGTAGCCAATGCAGAGGAGGTATCAGTTCATTCTTTTTTTGGCTGGCTGTTCAACATTTAATTTCTGTTTACTTGCATCTTGATCTGACCTCTGTCAGTGTCAAACCAAATAGGAAAACTGAACATATACCATGCAACCTGAAGCAGCTGCTCATAAATATGATCTAAAGTGATGGTCTTTTTGAGCCTTCTTATCCCAGATATTGGTGAAGAAGTCTCATGATGATAGAATGGCATGTTGACTGTTGTTCCTATCTGTATTTTTGAATTTAGAGATTTACAGCGAGTAGTCATGGTTGTGTACGTGATATGCGGTTATGGTTCATCTGTTTCACCATTTAGCTCACTTATCAAGACTGCACATCCCTGATATACAGTAGCTTCAGAAAATATTCAGACCCCTTCACCTTTTGAACTGTGTTGTATATTTAATTGTAAATCTGTAAAATTGCACTTTTAATCAAATGTAGCCTGAGCTTGAGAGGATTTGCCAGGAAGAACAGGATTAACTGTCCAAATCCAGATGTGCAGAGCTTGTAGGGACTTGCTTAAGAAGACTCAATGCTGCAATTGCTGCTAAAGATACTTCTAAAAAGTACTAAATAAGTGTTTGAATACTTTTGTAAATGAGAGATTTCAATTATTGGATCTTTAATAAATTTGAAAACATTTTGAAAGCTGCAAAATTTCAATTTAATCAATTTAAAAATGAAATATTCAACACAAAGTATATAAAGTGATGGGGTCTGAATACTTTCTGAAGCTACAGTGTTATTCCTCATAAGACAGGAACACATTTTGGAGAGCTACTTTGTTGACTGTAAATAAGAATTCTATCAACACAGGTTTTGCATGGTGAAGTACTTAAAATGTCAAAATTATTAAAGCATTGATTCAAACGCTGAAGCCAAAGTATGGCCTCAGGAGAAAATCTTTTAATTCCTCTAGTAAATCTGCATTCACACATTGTTTAAACAGTAAATAAATAAAGTGAACACAACCCCACATCAGCACTGAGCTCATTATTTTTTATCTTGTTTGTATCAAGTGGCTTCAGGTTTCTGTTATATCCATGTAAAATTTAAGCATCATTTAGTGCTTGCAACTGATTTAGTAGCTGTAATAAATGCAACCACCTGCCTCATGTAATTGCAGTTACAGATGACCGATGCCATGGACAACTTGGAGGAGCTAATTCGTCTCAGTGGAGGGGACGGGCAGATCTTCACTATGGAAGGGCCACTTTGCATGAAGAGTGTACAGGCCATGTTTGGGTATGGCAGTTACTGGGGAAATAAATGTTACTAATGTTCAATGTGCTTAGTAAGTCACCTTTTACCAATGTACATCGTTGTATGTCTCCAGGAAGCTGATTAACCACGCGTACTCTGCTTTCCACGCTGTCCTGCACTGTGGAAATCTGTCCTCGGACGTTCAGGTGTTCCCTCGACCAGAGCCACTTGTGGTGGATGAAGAGGTAGAGCCCATGCCCCGAAAAGTCAGCACAGGTACTGTCAAATTTCAGCATTTAGACTTTAATTTATATAATTTCTTTTTTAAAACTAATCTTTTTTCTGTTATGTGTATTTCAGATTTGGAAATTGTGGGCTTTATTGAAATCGCTGATATTTCCAGTCCTCCTGTTATATCCAGACACTTGGTACTGCCTATTGCTGTAAACAAAGGTTAGTTAAAAGAATCTATCAGTGACACATCATGCATCAGCTCATTACTTTTGATTTCAACTGATTTTCACAGAAAGTAGTCAGATTTTCTTTAACGGACCAGGTAATTTTAAACTGATTTTGACCTGCATTGCATGTCCGCACACTCAAAGTTGTTCTCCATTTCATGAAAATACTGTTTACTGTGATTTACCTTTGTGATGAAGATTGATTAGATTGTGCTTCCAGTAGAAATTAAAGACAAAAAAGGCAGAAAATGCAAATAAGCTCCTAATAATGCAGAGTAAATCACAGTTTACTTACAATACATCCAGTGTTTATGATGCAAATACCTCAAAAACCACATTTTTACAGTGATTTTTTTTTTCTCATTATACAAAAACCAAAATTGAGCTTACTAAGCCACATGTCAGATTTTGTGGTGTTATGAATGTGTTTTATTTGTACTTGATTTCAGAGGTGGATGAAGTTGGTGCAGGAGCCACAGACGAGCTTGAGGAGGAGTCATCTGCCAGTCAGCTGGCAGGCAAAAGTCCAAATTTCTGTGTACTTTTACATGGCAGTTTGAAAGTTGAAGGCATGGTAGCGCTGGTCCAGCTGGGGTGAGAGTAACACAGTCGTTTCTAGTTTTACTTGACTATTTCTGTTCTATCCATAATTTCATACCTTTAAATATCAAGACATCTGCATAGCAAAATGAGTTCATACAGTATATGAACAAGTGACCTAGATTTAGTGTGGTGGTTTTTCCAGGCCAGAGTGGTATGGCATGCTGTATTCTCAAGCAGACAGCAAGAAGAAATCAAACCTGATGATGTCTCTGTTTGAGCCTGGTCCAGAGCCTCTGCCCTGGCTGGGCAAGATCTCACATTTGGGACCGATCTCAGGTAACCTCTCGCAGACTTGTCAGATAAGCAAAGTTTCTTCTTGTTGAGTTTACAGCAAATGTCTCCAGGGTCATACTGTTTACAAGCTCTGCTAGTTCCTTGTTTTTAAAGGCGTAATTCTAGGATATTGTGAAACTTTGTATTTACATGTAGTTTAGGACATATTAACCCATGTGCAGTAAATGAGTGTTTAACAAAGGGCTCTGTGTGTACATTATTGAGAAGTTAATAATTTACAGTTTTATTACAAGGTTGGACCGCTTTACTGTGACATGGTTGACTGACATCACTTTGATGTTTCATGACCTTTCTGGTATTCCAGAAGCTGCTGAAAATCCCTATGGCGAGGATGACAGTAAAAGTCCTTTTCCTGTGCAGCCACAGGTGAAACGAAGCTATGCCCAGAATGTCACTGTCTGGATAAAGGCCAGTGGACTACAGGTACAGTAAAATCACTGTATCAAAGCAGTAGTTTCAGTCACTTTAAGTCACTGAATTTTGCTAAAGTTTGCATTTGACTGAAAGTCTAGAAATTTTAAAGTATGACTTAAATTAATCCAAGAATGAAATATAAAGTATTGCGTGCACTACTTGTTAGCAGCTTCTTGCATGAACCTGAAATTTCATTCTTTTTCACTTTGGACGAATCTGGTCAAATGATATTAGTGCCTATACCTAGGCAGTGTCCAGGCTATTTATATGTATAAGCACTGGAACTTGGTTGCTATATTTTGTCATTTTTCTGACTCATAAATAGCATTTACATCAACATCCATTTCATAAAATTTTATACTGTGATATTGATGCACAATCTTTCCCATCTTTTGCATTATGTGAAAGAGAGATGCACCGTTCTTGTTTAATTGGTAAATGCATTATGTAGTACTTTTATCCAAAGTGTGTTGCAGTTTACCTACAAAGGTGCTGGTCGGACCATCAGGAGCAATTTGTCATTCCTCCTGTCCAAACGTTTAAGTGAAATTAGCAGACAACCCTCTCTACCCCAAGCCATGGCTGTCACTTAGGTGTTTAGTTGGAAGGAGTTCTTGAATGACTATCCCTTAGTTTAGGACTTGGGCAGTACTGAGCAAAAGCACAGGGTCATCTGTGGTTGCCATTACTCAGTAATTTGTGCTGTCACTTTATAGACTGATGTGCAGAAGATTCTGAGGAATGCAAGAAAGTTACCTGATAAAACTCAAACCTTCTATAAGGTAGGTTTCACTGAAAACTGATCAAGTTTGAAAATGCAGCTAAGATATGAGTTTTCTTTCATAAGTTATTTAAATTACCACTCTGACAGGAGCTGAACCGTCTACGGAAGGCTGCCTTGGCTTTTGGTTTCTGGGAACTCCTGAAGGGAGTGGCTGATCTGCTGGAGAGAGAGTGCACTCTGTTGCCAGATTCGGCCCATCCGGACGCTGCTTTCCAGCTCTCCCACGCTGCACAGCAACTCAAACTGGCCAGCACTGGTGATTCCCAGTATGCTGCTTTTGATCACAACATTGTCCCAATGCACACAGACTTCTCAAGCTGAGCTACATCTGAAAAATGAACTCAACTCTAGTAGCTTTGGCCTGTGTGGACCAATGTGGAGAGAGCACACGGTGTACGCAGGATGTTGTTTAAAGAACTCAAAGAGGGTACTTCGAGAAAGTGAACGTAGACGTGAGGCAGATGCCAAACTTAAACTCCAACGTGACACTGCCTAAACAATTACAGCATGCATGTACACACTTTTTACAGATTCATTTTAAAGATCTCTTTTCACAATTTCACCAAATTAAAATGTCACCTTTATTCAGTCATAACTGCCACATTTTGAGAAAATCTGGAAAATGGCTGAGATTTGCTTTCTAAATCCAGGTGAGTATCAAAATTTAACAGCTGTGTGATAGAGATGCAAACAAAACTTTTCATAACAGCTTAGTGTTGTGCATAAAAGGAAACATTGGTATCATACAGAATATCAAGTTATGTCTTAACGCAGCTTGTCACTAATCTACAAAGCATGCTTACAAATGAATCACCAGTGAGTGAGACCATCAGTGCAGTCATGAAATACTGCATCACCAGTAGGATGTTCCTGTTTCCCACTACAAGAAAACATTTTAGTGCAAGCAAACAGGCTGTGGATAAGAAAATACTGTCCTCATAACAAATGATTTTGAGAGGAGCACAGTTTGAGGGTGAAATAGAAAAATCCAGAAACAAGCAGGCAGCAAAAGTGTTAAGAGGATTGTTGTTCATTCTAAATCAGTTTGCTTTTCTCTTCTTTGTACGGAAACGCTTCTTCCTCTGCTTGTAAAGATGCCGCAAGTTGATAAAGAGTCCTGAAGGGAGAGGGGAAACCAAGAGGTTGATATGACAATGAAGATACTCGCATTAGAACATAGTATCTGTAGAGAGATTTATATGATTAATGCTTTATCTTGAGACTTACCAAGAAACATGAGAAGAAGATAAATGTGCAGGATGTAAGAGAAGCTGACAGAGGTGCCGATGGCTTTTGGCAGAGGAATGCTGAAGAGTTTAGTCTCATCAAAGATGGGAATAGACTGTATCACAGCAACAGCTACATGAGATTGGGAGATGATATCGCTTTCAGTATTCATGTCTAGAGAATTAGAATTAAATTGAGAGAAATAAAGAAGCTCACCTTCAGCTAAAGTTCCTAATGGGTACAGTGGTATCCAGATTGTGTACCGTAGCCATGTGAGGGTTTTCCACTCTGTATTGAAACAGGCCAGCATGTAAAATGGGTACCTGAAATTGGAGCATCATGTTAGTTTTAGGCAGGAAACGAGACACTACTAAGTTATTAACAACACATGCAAAAATTCTGGCTGGAAAACAGCAGCTGCATCCACCTGCTGCTTGCTAAACCTTTGTAATGTTGCATCTTTAGCTAGTGATGCTACACTGAGTGGGATTTCCACAGTGTCCTTTTCAGACTGTAATTGTGTCAGCAGTTGATGCCTTTTGGTGCTAAAATTTAGACCAAAGTTTTTCTGAGTGAGCAAAAGATGGCAAAAGGTACAGTAATTTCATATTTACAATTTTTAAGGTTACAAATCTTATTGATAAAACTGCATTAAGGTTTTGTGATTTGATGAGTAGTGATTGTAGCTAGAAGATTGTGCTGATTCTGACTTGAAAAGAATTGTCAATCCTTAGTAAGTCAGTTTGCATGACTGTTAACCATGAACAGTGACAAGACAGATGTATACTTGCCTAAAAATCTCGATGGCGCTCCACAGATAGAAAACGAAGAATACGACCGGTTTGTTGTGCATTTCCTCCACACTACCAAAAATGATGAAGAGGATAAAATTCCTTCCAACCACCTAGTAAAAGAACAAAACCCACAGATGCACTTGATAACAAATAAGTAGTTGCATTGGAATTTACTGGCACTCCATCTGTGAACCACTGAAGCAGAAACTCTGGCAAAGGAGTATCCCATACCTGTATAACAGCTGGAACAACACCTGATCTGACAACACCAAAAGCAGCATTGAGGACCTCTACTGCGGCCAGGACCTGGCAGAGGAACATCGCATCCGATATGGTGTGAAATGTGTCATAGAGAGAATCTGAAATGAGAGTAGCATTAAGAATGATGCGTCTTGACAGGTTTTCGTTAAGTAACTGATCAATGAAAAACTAACTACCGTACAATATAACTTCTCACCTTGGCCAAAGATAAAGAGTCGCACGGTCATGTTGACAAAGATCCATGAAAAACCAAGAAACTGTACCAGGTTATATACAAATAAAAATCCAGTTTTCAGGCTGACAAACCCTGAAATGTTTAAAAAAAAAAATACAGCCCCAAATCAGAAAAGTTGGGATGATATGTAAAATCAAAGTTAAAACTGAAGATAGTGATTTGTAAATCACTATCACATCAGATTCCTTGAATCTTTTGTTGTGCACCCTAGAGGGTGACAAATCCAAATCCCTTCCTATCTTTTTTTGAGGAACATTGTTTTTAAATATTTGAATAATTTCCTCACACATATGTAGGCAAACTGGTGATGCTTGGAGCATCATTGCTCCTGAAGGGCCAGGCCTTTCCTGGATGCCACTTTTGTACCAAGTCACGCAGTCACCTGTTGACATCACCCGTTTCAAATGGAGTCGTCATTTCATTGTTTTGCCTCTTTACTGGCCCTGAAATGCAGCCGTCCCAACATTTTTTGAAGTGTGTTGCTTGCATCAGAATTTAAATTAGTTATTATTTTGAACAAGAATAAAATGGATGAGGTATCACATCAAATAATGTGCTGCAGCATTGTTTTCTCTGTGATACAGGACAGAGACAATTTCCAAATCACTAGTTTCTGTTTTCATTTTGATTTTACCATCCCCACTTTTTCTGATTTGGGGGGTTAGGAAATGATTAGGCTGTTGATGCACACCACACAGATTTAACAAAAATACAGAACGCTATAAAACAAAATCTAGGAGCAAAACAAACTTTAGAGAAATAGGCAAGTGTGAGTTTCAAGTTGGAACTGTCCAGTAATAAGGATTTTAATTTATTTTAATTTGATTACATTTTAATTAAACTTCTTATTTAATAATATGCATTTTAATTTGCAATCAGCAGCTAAAACCAGATTTATACTCACCTTCCTCTTTGTGCCTTGAAGCCTTCAGTCTGTTCCTTCTCTCCTCCTTTCAAAGTAATAAATAAGGCGAGGCAAGTTCTTTTATATAGTTCCATATACAACGGTAATTCAAGTGCTTAACACAATGCACACAAACAGATAAAACATTAAAATGCATATATAAATAAAACACTAGGATGCAAATTGGATTAAAACATTAAATGTAAAGTAACAATTACACGACAGCCCAAGCAGCAACATGCAAGTATGTACAACTAGTACTTTTAGGACAGTTGTGGCAGACTGTGGATTCTCACTGTTCTCATTATAATTTGCACCCCTGTACTTCAGTCTTCCCAAGACTAACCTGTGAGTAATTGACACCAGAGGTGGGTGCACTAACGTCCAAAATGTTTGTAACATCAGTGTCTATACAGTGTACTAAACAGCCCTATAAAAGCTGTGGCAGATTTCGGATTCTTATTGTTGTCTCATGTTCTTACTGGGGAGGCCAATCAGGAGTGCATTTCAGTAGCCTACCCTAATAGAAATGAAAGCATGAATGAGCTTTTTTAAATCCTGCTCAGACAGAAAGCTTCTCATTTTAGCTAAGTCTTTAAGATGCTGGAATGATGATTTGGTACAGCTTTGATGAGACCATTACAATGTAGATCCTCAATGATTACACCAAAATTCCTGACAGAGGTGTTAGTTTTAGTTGGTTTGCTGTTAATTTTGTTATCACCTCTGACGTACCTCCAGCTAGCTGTAGGGTTAGTTTTGATTGTGGTGTAATGATACTTGTTAGCTTCAGCTCTGTTCTTGGAAAGTAATAAGACTGGTTAGGCCTGCTGCTCTTTTTGTGTGAACAGTGCTTTGTATCAGTGCCTTCTAGCCTGTGGGTTTTCAATTTGACTAATTGTTTGTTCTTCAGCTATCCTGAGTGTAAATCACTGAGCGATCTTACTGATGTGGGAAACTTAAACTTGAGGTGCCTTGGCTGACATCCCTAAGAAATTTAATTCATTTCCTGATAATATTGGGTTTTATGTTCATCCTTTGCCCCTAACAAACATCAGGGTTGTAACAGTGTTTTTGACTTAAGGTAAGCACTGAGTGCCACCTGTCTTTCTTTATTTCAAAAGGAGAATTATTTCTGTTTTGATTTTTTAGTTGAAGGAAATTTTGTTGCATCCAGTTGTTCACTTTTTCAAGACAGACATAAGTCTATAGTCATTTGGTGAGAGTGTTAAGTATATCTGGGTGTTGTACACTTAGCCAAGATAAGCAGCACTACGTTCCTGGAAAGTTAGAAAAAGCAAAAGCATGTACAGATTGAATAGGAGGGGCTCAAGAATTAATCCTTGTGGGACATCGTACTTCGTGGCAGTTCTTTCAGATTCATAATTACCGATACTGACTACATGTCCCGTCTTCTAGATGTGATCTGAGCCACCTGAGGATAGTGTCTGATAGTCCAACCCAATTTTCCATTCTATCTAGAAGTAATTGATGATCCACAGTGTCAAATGCTGCACTAAGATCTAATAACATCAAGACTGTTATTCTCCCCGAGTCATTATCCAAACAAATGTCATTTAAAATCTTTATAAGAGCAGTTTGAGTGCTATGGAATGTCCGGAAACCTGACTGAAATCTCTAAGACTGAGATAGGCCTGTGGTTACTAACACTGAAGCATTCAGGTTTTTCTTTTTCAGAAGGGGCCTTATAACTGCAGTTTTTAGTGATGCTGGTAAGATGCCTGATAAGAGTGAATCATTTACAATACTGAACAAATCCACTGCCACAGAGCTAAAAACAACTGTTTATGAAGCTTGTAGGTAGAATACCTAATGATCACATAGATGTCTTAAGGTGCTGGACTGTTTCTTCTAGAGTTGTGCTGTTAACTGCAGTGAACTCTGACATAAAAGCCATTCTTTTTGTAGAAGGTGGTGAAATCATATTGTCTCTGCTAGGCTGAGTGGATCTAATACTTTGTCTGATATTTTCAACTTTTTGATGATAAAACTGCAAAGTCATTACTTTTTTTTTTTTAGCTGTCAGGAACTCAGAGAGTGGCTGCAATGGGCGATTTGTTAACCTATAAATAATGGCAAATATAGCACGTGTTATTAATAATTCCATTAATGATATTAGAAATGAGCCTATAAAAAATTAAGTTTCTTTTTGTAGTTAAAACATATATATAAATACATCAAATAAAACATATTTAAACAAATATATCAAACAGAACAATAGTCAGTCTTTGCCTCTGGTATCAAGAGTTCCTATATTTGGAATATTTTGACTTTTTCAGACTTTTGTTTAAGTATACTTTTTAATACAGTTATCAAATGCACACAGTTGTGTGTGAAAATATCTCTGAGTTAAAAACTACTTTAATCTCACCTTTTCCCTGATCTCCATCTCAGCGTCCGACTCATCCAGCCAGCGGTCAAAGTCAGGTGCCAGGAAGGCAGGTTTACGCTCCTGTATGACCAGTCTCTCCCACCAGCCACTTTGCTCTTTCCGCACTGTTATGTTCACTTGCCGCTGCGTGGACTTGTGAGTCACCTGGGCACATGTTCATTTGATGAGCACAGTCAGCAAATGTAGGAGACACAAGTAAGAAAGCACAGTATGCTGTATGTCTATGACCAGTTTTAAAATAGATACATACCTCTGGTTTTACTGGTAAGAGAAACTCCAACCTGAAATCATATTCATTTTGTCCTTTTGCACCATGGCCCTGAGCTACAAACAAAATATCATAAAATGTCACAAATCTCAAACTTTTTAAAAAAATTTCCAGATGAACATGAACAAGAGATGTGTGTCACCTCTAAAGTGAAGGCTGTTTTCATGTACGTCAACCACAATATTCTGCAAAAAGAAGGATACAAATGAGTTTACTTCCTCCTAAAGTGTGAAAATTCAAGCATCATATTACTTCCTGTCAACACTATTGCTTAAGGTCTCTAGCAAAATAATAGCCTACTAACCCATGTGATGGACTGTACACACACATTTTATTATAACCTTCACACTAACCTAGCACATCACTGAACAGGTCTGATTGGATCAACCCTGACAGCAGGCCTTAGCAGAGGGCTTTAGTATCTAGGTTATCATCTAATAGCATGTGCTAATTGTAACGTTACATATTCCTCCGGCGTGGCTTTTCAATCCTCATTTGCAATATTTAATATTAGAGGCATAAAGTAAGTAGTAACCTACAAGGTTTCAAAGCACTATCCTAAAGTAAGTGCAGTGTGTGTGTGTTACCCCGGAGGCTTCTGTCCTGTGCACTTTGATCAACCTCACCTGAGCGTCTGTCAGCTCCACTCGAAGAAAAATTTCTTCATGGCGTTGAGCCCAGTAAACTAGGGGTGTGAGCGTCATTGTTGCGTTTTTGTGCAGCTTTGTTTCAAACAAATATGAGGCTTGGCGGAAACTGAATGAAGTCTCGCTTCATGCTAACAGACTAACCTGGAAGCGGATATCCAGAATGTTCTGCGAACGCACGCCCTCAGGACCTAACAGCGGAACGTGCGCATTCAAGACACAGAGCGTTGAATGTACTCTCCTCTGATTGGCTGGTGTGAATGTTTACGGAACTAGTCAATTGGTAGTTCTCTTTAGGTTTTTAGGTAGCACCGGACTGAGTAAGATAATGTAGTATTATTATAGAAAAAGACGTGGTAATTATACAGGAGAACTGCAGCGTGTCTGCTCGGTGAAATGGTAACATGCAGACAGAGCACTACGTATCTTGTGGGAAAACAGATTTGCCGAAATCATGTGGGGAATTTCGTGTTCTCGTTGGCGTAACGGGAAGCGTTGCAGCCTTGAAACTGCCTCTTTTGGTCTCACAGCTTCTTCATCTCCCCGGGGTCAGCAGATTTATGTTTATTTTTTGCTATTCATAGTCTGCTTTCATTTTCTACCTCTTCTATCCGTATCGGCTACATGTATGTCCATGCACATGCACAGTTATTGTTTCTCTGGGATAATGTATAAGCTCACATTAACCACAAGATGGAGTAGATGTTGCAGTTGCAAAAAGGCTTTAGAAAATATCTAAAAATTTTAATTTTAATTAACAGTGGATTAAATCTTTGTTCTGGACCTGTGGTACAGCACAAATGACACCGCAGTTATGCTTCAGGAGGCTGTTCAAGACTTTTTATGAAGTCTCAGTTTTGGGAAGGTTAAAAGTAATAAATGATGTAGCTATTTTAATTAGCCTACTTTGTTAAAGCAGTGCAACTTTCTGCGTTTAATTATTTTCAGATTACTTTTCTAACTAGTGTTTTAAAATGGGCAATAATTTTGAAAAGTAAAAAATATGTATTCCATGCAGTTCATGGAAAGGCCACAGTGTGTGTTTTATTACCACTTTAGCTAGAGTTATATGGCAACCCAGTCTATGGCCACCCCCACCCCCTAAGACAGTGAGCTTGTTTCCTTTCTTCACCTTCTGAGATGGTCCCAAGAGTATAACCCCACCCATCACCCCCACCTCCCCGCCTCATGAACTCCATTTGATGCAGCTGAGGTGAAAGTGGAGGCAGACTGCATCTTGTGTCTTGCAGGTGTTCAGGCTTGTTATATAGGCAGTGTTTCATGCTGAGGTTGTATCAAGCCAGAGGTTGTGTTAACATGCAGGGTCTGGGTGTAGTTTGGCTGAGCTCACATTAGCCCACAACAATATTTATCATTAAGAAAGCATTGAAGTATAGAACAATGACCAATTCTAGGCCTTATCATCATGAAAAATGGAAAACCAGTAGGGACGATAAGTCCCAGAGTTGGTCTTTATCACTTTTGTCATTGCTTTCTTTGGCCATATGACCAATAAACAAGTATTACATTGCACTGTCATTAAAAAGTGTGCAGAAACTCTGAAAACCACAGCAATATTAATAGGGATAGTTATTTTATTAAGTTATAGTACTGTAATTTTGCTCCAGGGAGCAGGAGAATGTAGAAAAATTAAAAAGTGCTTTTAAAATCCCTGTGAATGTCACTGTCTTGTATAGGTGGATGTAAGAGTTGTAACTACGGAAAACGCCAAGCACTTCTACAATCCTGAAGAGGTTTCAGTAAACATCTACAGTGACAAGGATGAGTGGGAGGTAACAGTGAACCTTTTAAATGTTGTACTAAGCCATTATTAAATGACACTCTGGAGCAGATTTTCTCCGTGTTGGTGCTACTAATATGCTGATAGGGCAGTGGAAGATGTCCTACTGAAATTTATATTTTATGAAATGTTATATTAAATATGTGTGAAATATACCATCATTTCCATGCAGGCTCCCTCACTGTTGAAATAAATGTATAAAAGAATGTCATAGTTGCTTGACTGATTTCCAGTTGCTGAGCAAATTAATATTTTGAAACACAGAAACATGATCAAGGGCTGGAAAAGATTGAGAAACCTTGGTCTAATGTGTCATACATTCTCATAAAGGAAGTGTGCCGAGTTGGCCACGTGTCTAAAGGCATGTTTTCATTCCAGCTGTGGACGCAGAGATCTGACCCTGTGCTACACATTGAGCTAAGGCGCTGGGCAGACCTACTTGTCATTGCTCCCCTAGATGCCAATACTCTTGGCAAGATCGCTAGTGGCATTTGTGACAATCTGCTGGTGAGAACATTAAATTATTATAATTTATTATTATTTATTATGTGCCACAGATTGTTGTGGCAAATAATACTAATTTATTGCATGATTTCTCTGAAATTGTTTACAAGTTTATCAGTAGCCTATTTGTTATTGGCAGACGTGTGTGGTAAGAGCCTGGGATACCAGCCGACCCGTCCTCTTCTGCCCTGCGATGAATACAGCTATGTGGCAGCATCCCATTACAGCCCAACAGGTATCCAAGCTGAAAGAGTTTGGATATGTGGAAATCCCCTGCATTGCCAAGAAGCTGGTGTGTGGAGATGAAGGTGGGCTTAATACAGGGAAAACACAGATATTAAATCTACTGATATTTGTGTGTGTCAGATAAGATCTCAGAATGCAGGACCCTGTTAGTTTGATCATAACAATTTGAATACATTTAAAAATATTAATGATGGCCTGATCAATTACACACTTACAGATTGTACCTGCTTTGCTGCTATTCTAGCACATTCTAGCACTTGTCCAACAAATGTAAATGAGGTTGGCCCAAGACTTAGGTTCAGGAACTTTTTTTCTGGTGACATCCATTAGCGGGATATGATTGTTTGATCAATCATATTCTAAAAATATTAAGAGGGTTTCAACAACTCCGTCAAGTACCACCTGGTTTGCTGAGAAGGTTGAGCAGAACACAAATATTGATACTGATTAGAATATATATTTGTCAGAGTGGTTCTTCAAGGACATCAACAGACTACACATTTCTATGTCCTATTACAGCCATACCTTTGTAAACAGCTTACTTTGTCATATGTCTATTGATGAAATGATGAAGTTTATACAATGCACCACGCATGTGTATGATTTCATTTGAAACACTGATTGATAATATCTGTTGATTGCAGTCTTTCACTAAATTGCTTGTGTTTTCTAGGGACCTTGGTACAGTACTGTTGTGACTTGTTCTTACTTGCACAAACTGCTGTAACTATAGGGAAAACAGAATTCCTCTGAAGGAGATCACATAGAAAAGCATGCCCACAAGTCTTACAAGATATACAATAATGATCAGTTAAAGTTATAAAATCTTTGAATGCAGATTTAGAAGAAAATCCTTAGATGTGTGTATAGAAATAGATATGCAAACCCTGTGGATGCACTTAAGAATATGTATATTAAATAGGGTTTGTGAGTATGCTGATTGTGCACAAAGGCTTGTACTACATCATTGTTTCCAGGAAGCTAAATGATAATTTACTTCTCCTTGCCGAAGATACTTTTGTAACCTGCACTTTTTACTTTGCTGCAGGTAAAGGCGCAATGGCAGAGGTATCAACTATTGTCAGCACTGTCAGGCAGTATCTTGAGAAACCAGATGAGTGATCTCAGAAACCATGAACGTCACATCATATTGTGCAACAACTGGCACTGAAGCTCAATAGAAAATATACTTGATGACTTCAAAATGATCTTGTGTTTAGTCCCTTAAGGCCCTACACACCCATGGTAAACTCACACGGTGGCTTTCACCTATTTAATTTGACAAGTCTTCATGTGTGGGTGTGTACTGACTTGACACTGATGGGCATCTCCCTACTCTTTTGTTAGCTTTGCTGTACCGGTTTGGGCAGAACAACATATAGTTTTACTTGATGTATTTGGACTATCATGATCTCATGTAATTCTTAGCATAGCTCGAGTGAATTGCAGCCACAGTTTGTTAGTTTTTAATTACAATGATATGATTGATGGCTTGTTGGAGTGTATATACATGAGCTCATAATATGTCTCCAATGATATGCTGCTTTGTCAATAGCATAAATATACTATTCACAAATGTCAGTGTAATTTTGGGATTAATACGTCACTACAGAAAAGGGGAGTTACTTAAATGGTGAAAACATTTGAAAAATATCTCTCATGGGTTGCCTTTTTTTTGTCAATAGCTGTGGTCTAAATGTCTGTCATGCAAATTAAAATGTGGGCGTTGACAAAAAAATGACGTATTACTGCCAGCTTCGTGAAAATAGTGAAGCTGAATGACCAAGCTGTTTGTTTAATGATGTCATCTACATGCCTCTCTAGGACAACACCTTTGTTCTTCTGAATTATATTTAATTTTGTGTTAGCTGAACAAATAATAGTCACTTGTTTGATATGGGTGTATCATTGTAGGTTTTTTTTTTTTTTCAAATTACTATATAAATACAAAATATCAGGGTCAGATATTGTACCTGCTCAACAAAGGTGATTGACATTCCTCAGTTGTTAGAGTTTAAACTATATGTTTTATTTTTTTTTATTAGTAGCAAAATGCATTGAAAAATGAAAGACAAATGTTCACTGTGCTTAAAGCAACAAACTCTATGTGGCCATTAGCAAACCAGTCATTATGCAACAAAAAATTATTAAATGCATGTGTGATTGTAATTTTAGAAACCATTGTTCTGATTTAAGTCAGCAGGAGCTGCCGCAGTGCCTATGGGGTTAATTATGTGAGACAAAGCAGTGGAAACATTATACCCACAAGGCAGTTTAACAGACTGGCTTTACTGTACAAAACTGTCAGCTGAGGTATGGATGCACCAGTCTCAGTGACCATTAGTAATTGTAGCAGTCTTATTCCAGCACACATACACCTTCATTTTGTTTGTGTAGACAAGATCATGCAGTATTTAAAAAAATATATCTTTTTAAGATAGACCAAGAAGTAGTAGAAGTATTTTACAGAGTTCTTTTTTTAACCATGATTTCCAGTACCAGAGGCCACAAACGCTGAAACCCGTGGTTCATATTAGCGTTTGACATGTTTATCTTTGTGAAAAACCCTCCATCTCTAAACAGAGTGAAAAGTACCAGTCTGGATTGTGTTAAGACAAGACAGACGAGTGAATGTCAAACCAAACCAGACAATGGTTTGTTTATGTTTTATGAGTGAGAAGTAGCAGACAGTAACAACTGTCTTACTTGTAATAAACTGAGAGGGACTGAACCTTGAGGGTGGTAATCTTCAGGGTTTGTTTCTTCTGCAGCATTATTATGTTGGACAAGTAGGACAGAAAGGTTCTGACAGCCTGTTTCACAAGACTTCAAGATATAATACTCAAACTTTGTCACCAACAGACCAAAAAAAACAGTTAATAATAACAGCTAGCTGCAACAACTATCTACAGTAGATCTGCATTGTTGATCATTAAAATTCTTCTTTATTATAGTCATACACACTGAGTATTGCTGAATCATTCAATTTATTATGTTGTAAAGTTAATTTGAAAGCACTGATATTTCTCTTTCTCATGTGAACAAAGCCATCTTTTATAACCACCATGTAGACATTTGTGCTGCTTACACATTCCAGATATACTTTATCTCAGTTTATTTCCATTCTCACTAAATCCAAGGGAGGTGGGTGAAATTTGGTTTGCAAATAGCCTGGGGCATTGTTACTGTTGAGCTGTCGAGGTTGCAGCACTTGGAGCCGTGTGAATGGCTCCCCAAACGAAAAGCATCCTTCCCTGAGCCATAACTTGTCCTGATGCTATTGGCTGCTGATTCTGTTAATGAGGCCAGAAGCACATTACATCAGCTGCACTGATGAGAGGAGCGCCATCATGGCCTTGACAGTGCTGTGGGGAAGCTTGCATGTCTGCCTACTTCAGATAAACACCGTGTTCTCAAAACTGTGGATAACACACCAAACCTGCAGATATGCAGAGTGAAATAATCAAAGGTTGACTTTTCAAGACCAAAAATATTATTTTTCTCTACTGCAGCTTTAGTAACTCTTCACCAAGAAGTGACTGTACTTCAAGACATTTCTGAACAGCCTCACGAATCTTAGCTCTCTCAGAACTCCTTTCTTTTTGTTGTGAATCCCACAAAATACAACACTGTTTATTTGATACTCGGTTAAATTATATGATTTGAGGATTTATTATTATTACAATTTCAACCTCAACTTAAAGAAATTGTTCAGTTTTTTTTATTTGTCACCACTTTATATGACCTGATAGTCTTATACAGCTCAAGAAACGAAGACACATTCAGACAACTGCACAACCAACATACCTGTACAAGAACACCACATTTTAAGTGAGAACACTGAATTAAATTGCAAATCTTTAAAATTTCTAAGCCTAGTGAAAGAATCTAGTTTGAGAGTAGTTTTCACGTACATTCTAGCTGAGGGAGCATCAGTGCTGTTACTCGATTGCGTGCTGTAGTTACAAGGTTTAAATGACACCACAGGTGTACTTTGGAAGCTTTAACAATAGAGATATGATGGAAACTAAACAGTCAGCTATCTGCACATGCAGCTTCAGCTTTTTTAAAATCAAGAAACAACATTGAAGAAAGGGTTTTATTATGGAGAGTTTGAGAAGTTTATAAAAAAAACTCAGCCTTTTATTTGCTATAATGAACAAAAACTAAAGAATATGAGTTTTGGAGTAATGACTTAAATATACTATGACAGACTGTTGTGCTCCAAGTTAACAGCTGAACCATGAAGATCTTACAGATTTGTTAAATGTACTCTAGAAGGAAAGCTGCGGGGGATTGACTCTGGAATGAAATATGTATGTGTATTATCTGAGCAACAAGTGATAAAAAGAAGTGCAGACTTCAGATCGGCAGCAATCCATACTGTGTAAAGCATGTTTGATTGCGTGTGCAGTCTACATTGTAGCTACACAATGACAAATATGAACTACATGTATATGGTATCTTGTTCTCTGTGACAATGTGTGTGCACGTTCAGGTGCAGATGCGCCTCGTGTGTCTGATGCAACTTGAGCAGTCTCAAGGCTCAGCATGTAGTTTCTGGCCTCTGGGAGCGTTCAGCAGTGTTTCATCAGAAACTACATCCTGAGAGATCACACGCTCTGCTCCATGTGTCACCACAACATCTTTTATTGACTCTCATATGTTTAAAAGTGGTAAACACTTCATGGAGTCATGAGCAAAAGAAAATGTACTGAAGTAAAGTGTACTGTCTTTGTTTCTATGTATATTTTATCACAACACGGTTATTCCTCCATCCTGGGCACGATGCCCATGTTGACAGCCCCAAGGGAAAGACAAACCGTTCTTCTCTATAATTAGTTTACCTTAAAAACAGTTACAATTATCAGCTTAATGTTTGCTGTGTATTAATGTGTATTTATGCATATTAGAAGCTCAACAGAATGAAGTTTCACATAGGGAAATAACCTTTAACACTATATTGCCAACTGCAAATTTGCCTCCAGTAAATATTTGACAGAGTACTGTATCAGGAAACAAGTGGCAACACATTAAACGAATAAGATAATTGCATAGTCTCTCCATGCTGTAATATTATTCACTGACTTGGCTACCAGCAACAGGTGCACAGGAGGACTTAAGGGTGAATTTATGATTCCTTTCTAAATATGCCTTCTGTTACAGTTGACTCTCTCTGAAAGTTTCTGACTGACTACAACTGCATGTATTTAATGTGTCATTTTGCCTTTCTATGTTTGAACATTTGTGTTGCTGTACCCATATGGCACACTGTTAGCCCCTTGATGCCTTGTGTTGGGTAGCCTTAAGTGATAACACCATGGTAACTGGAAATGGGGGGATGTGACAGAGCCCCATGGGGAAAGGCCCCTGCCTCTTTCTCTTCAGTCAAACCCCTTGATGAGCCTCTCTTTACCTGTGAGGCCAGAGGAACTGATGGAAGCCAGTAACTTGTCTAGACTAAACTGTGACAGCCCTACGGGATGCACAAATTAGCCTCCAACTCACTGGTGAAGAGGGACTGGTATGATGCAAGTGCAACAAGAAAGTAACTGTGGGATACGATCAATGACAACAGGTAAAACAGAGACCGACTGAGCTAATGGCTGATCTGAGTTTAACTTTGGTCAACTAAAGTCAACCATTAACTACATTAGGTTGACAGTGCTATAGAGTCTTCCTTCACACAGTAGTTTTTTTTTAGCAATTATGTTAATATTTTCTTAATTCCACGTGTTTTTTAACTCTTGGTTTGCAGTTCATTAAAGGTTTTACTTTTCTGCAGCATTGTACCTGCGTGTGACTTTAATCAGTTTTATAGCAGGACTAACTGGGGTATTAACCTTTGATAACGTTAGTAGATTATCATGACATTAATATTCCTTTTGCAGATATGTACTGCAAATTCTTAACATCTTTGTCTTATTCCTCTTCCAAAGCTGTGCACACTAAACCCATCTAGATCAGGGCTTCCCAAACTATTTCTGAATAAGCCAAACATAAAGGATGAGAATTTCGGACTCCCTAAAAATCTGATGTCTTGGGTTCGCTTGAATGAAGTGATATGCGTTTATTTATTTTTGGTGACTCTCTGGGATCCCCTGAAGGATATGGACCAAAATTCTGGTTTAGGAGCAACAGAGAAAGGAAGCAAGTCACACTCGTATTATTTAACATCTAAATTAAAGAAAGCCCACATGACTCGACTTCATCTGAGGTGGCATTTGCGCCCATCTGGCAGCTGGACATTAGGATATGGCCAATAAAGTCATCAGCGGGAAAACATCTCATGCACAAGCACAAACCGTGGAAAGACAGCGGGTGTGACTCCGCCTTTTGATCAAAGACCATCCTCCTCCCTTTTGTCTTTTCTTCAGTTTGTTAACTTCTCCAGAGCCGCGTGGATTCCGGGCGACCCGCTCAAACCTTTTGGCAGGCCTTCACTTCATTCCGTGGGGTTCTGGGGCATCCGGACCGACCGACCCACTAACAAACAGAGGAACTACTTCCCCCTCCTTTCGCAAGAAGCTGTGTTTCATGGAGTCTTTGTGGAAATCATTTATTGTCGTCAGAACAGCGAGGTAAGAAAACTTGTTTGCTGTTCAGATTTCCAAATTAACGACAGATTCTGATACAGGGAAGAAAGGGGACCGCAAATTGTGGCACACACACTAGTGTCGCTTCTAGAAAAGCAGGAGATAATGCGAAACTACAGTATTTCATATATGCGTCCATTGTAAGTGGCTGAAACGGTGTTGTTTTTAACCCACAGTGTGGTCTGCGTTTTACCATGGCTTACGACGCTTTCGGAGCCTGTATGGAAATGACTCGCACCGTGTCTGGCAGTCGAGCTTTTGCACGTAGTCTGAATTATTTTCATATTATTTGCGTCCTGTCAATTTGAGGAAGCTGTCCGTGGAGGCAGGACAACAAACTCGCGATAATCAAATATATCCTCCTCCGGGGTTACAACTGACCGCGTTGTCACAAGAAACTGTGAGAAGAAACTTCTTCATAGAATTTAAGTTCCCGTTTTTACGTCGCGAGTTCCTTCTCGGACCTACTTGCGGAAATTAGTGTCATTGTTTCACTTAGAACTTGCCGACACTCTCCAGATTTTATTGAACTGATAAAGTAATTGGTCGTCATTTAATTAACAAATTCCGGCTTTTGACAAGCTGGAATGTATATTATTTATTTTATTTTATTTATTTATTTATTTATTTATTCCAAGCATGTAATAAAAGAGAGAAAAAGAAAAAAAAAAGGAAATACGGGTTGCTTTCGGAAATCACACTCTCCATTACCCTTGCCCTACAGATCTGGGAGCATGGACACACAGACAGTCGAACACACACGCACACACACACACACACACTGCGGCTTTAAGTCAGTTGAAAACACATCTACGCAGTTTCCTCCGTGCTGCACCTAAACCGCATTTCTCCTCGGTGTGCGCAGAGATCGCGCTGTGCTTTATGAAAGGTGTCAACAGGATGGACTGAAGACATCTGGTAGTGGTGTAAACCTTCAGCACACCCAGCAGATATTAGTTTTAGAGAGTAACTTAGAATGCACTGGCCACCAGTGGGGCAACGCTAATAATAAAGTTAAAGATGCTGTTTCCTGTTATGGTTCATCACATGACGAGGCCATAACTGTTAGTTGCACCCCAACACTGGGGAAGTATATGAAAAAGGAACTCTGGTATGGCTGAAGGTTTGTGGTTATAAATTGCAGAATAGAAACAGGGTCCACTTTTAGTGTTGGGTCTCAGGGCAAGGTGAGAAGTACAGTATCTGTCAGATCAGGTGAGAAGATCTGGTCTAAAGGGAAACGTCTTTGATAGAACAGCGATGACACATTCTGACATCTAATATATTAGTCATTCACACATGTAGTAATTCTCATATTTGAAGACATGGTCTAAGTGAAGATTGCTTTCAGCCACACATGAATATGATGCCAGCACCATAAGCCGTGATGCACGGTGAGAACTGCTTTGTTTTTTCCCACTATGTGTTGTCTGTGGGAAACAGTTTCCATTCTTAACCTGTCTCATTCTCTAAAATTTCATGCTAGTGCATTAAGTTGTGACGACTCCTCACACTCGGACTATCACTTCTCCCTCAGTGAACCTCACTGATCTTGTGGCTCATCACATGCATGTCACATATATGTCCAGGTTGAGGAAATGTCTCAAGCTAGTTGTTATATAATGATGACTTTATGTTAGCAGAAAAATAAACACCTTGCAATGTATTTTGCCCTGCCATCTAATGTCGGAGGCAGGAGTTTTATACAAGCTAATTAAAAGGATGGATCTCTTGAACTAATCTTGCATAGACATTTAACGATTTAATGCCATCGTCTAATAGTTGTTTCTGTATTCTCAGGTCTGGAGCCATATCAGTGCAACATCACAACAGAGTTACTACATGATGAACAGCCAGTCGATGCAGACCCTCATTGACCCAGTGTTTCGAAACAAGATGCCATTATTCAATGGGACCATAGCATCCACAGGCCTGTCAAAGCCACAAAATATGTCTGGTTTTCTGGGTAAGCAGCCATTGCCATACAGCGGGGCTTACTTTACTTATGACCCCAGAGGAAAGGATGGTGCAGGATTAACTCCTCCTCGGAATAACTCAAAGACCTCCCTGCTGGATGGCAGAAGTCCTGTGAGTCACCTCTCTGGCACGGAGGGACGAAACCACATAATTTACAGGCAAGACAGCGGTTCTTCAGAGGAAGGCCATTCTCTTTCCTCCACTCTGTGCCATGCCCCAGTAAAACAGGGCTTTACATTATACACCAAAAGTCCTGGGGTAAAGAGCCCTACAGCTTCTACATCAGTGACTGTTGGAAAACAAAAACCTGGAGGTGAGAATTCATCTCCACCATCTGAAAGCCCTGTTTACTTAGCAATTCCTAAACCTGTTTACAGACATAGCTCCTGCTGTAATGAATTGGGTTGTGTAATAGGACAACGATACAGTGTGGAGCATGGCTCTCCAAGGATATCGCACACTGTTTATGAGCATGATTGGATGCAAACTGATGCTTGCTACACTGAAAGGCAGCCTATTCAGAGGAAGGAACAAGACCTAGTGCTGCATCCGAGAGGTTTACAGTTTGAGCCCAGTGCAGAACCACTGAAGAGGATGACTGTAGATGCATACAGCCCAACTAGAGCAATGACTTTTCCTTCTATGATTGACTCAAACTACAGCAGTTACTCATGCGTCCCAACTCACACATTGTTTGGCTCTTTAACTGAGCAGAGTCAGCGTTTACAGACTCCCCCCCGAGGGTATCCTAGCCTATATCCCTCCCATCCTACATATGAGCATATGACCTCAGAGGTTTATCAGGAATGTTCTCCCATGTCCAAATATGGCCAGCTAACACAGCACCCGATGTTCTACTACCCCCAGGCAAATGTCGAGGTAGAAAACAGGACACAGTGTAAAGATATTAGTAGTAAGCAGAGAGAAGATGGCTCTGTTATTCTTAAACCCACAATCTCAGCCCCCCGGGAGCATTTCGTAGTACCTCACTCACTTCATGGTGAAATTCCTTTGCCTTTGCCTAGCACTGAAATGTTGCCAAATCATTCCTTTATTCAGGGTTTTGACTATCCGTGTTACGCAGTCCCTAGATTTTATTTAAATGCAGGCCCGACCAGGCCTTCCCTAAAAACACACCATGCATTGTCTAGTTTTCACTCGGATTACAAAACCACTTCTCCATCCAGCCAATATTTGGACCATCCCATGACCTCAGCAGCCAGTCTGCATAAGACAAAAACCAGCCCAAGCTTGCATGGTGACAAGTCACATGTTTCTTCACCATTTCTGTGTCTGGACCAAACCAGTCCCACCAGACGTTTAAGCCAACCTGGTGGTTCACCACCTAGTATGCAAATTAACAGATTTTTCTCCCCACTCACCAGCCTACACGTAGACCGGCCCTTCCTGCCACCAGCTGGCTTGAACATGGATAGGCCCGTGGAATATTCCTCTTGTGAAGGCCATGTTACATGCCCGAAACAACCAAAAGGCCTTCCTGTTTCCCCAGAAGCATGGCTACCCCCGTCACCCAGTCACAGCTCAGATCACATCCTCACAGCTGTAAGCAATAGTGCCAATGTGAAAAAAAATATTTATTCCCCTGCTGCTGCAACAGGAAACAAACACAATGGCACTGCATCCAGTTCAGGCACTTCTGTTCTTAAACGGTGCCTGAAGAGAAGTGTTTCTCATTCCTCTCCACCCATCAAAATAAAAGAAGAGGATAGAGATTTATGTGACGTGACACTCATTAAGAAACGACAAAAGGTGGAAAAGGAGAAGGCCCAAGTAGGAAATAAAACCGACTCCCCTCCTATGCCAGTCATTGACAGTGTCTTCAGTCTGGCACCTCACCAAGCACACTGCCAAGCCTCTGGAACTAGAGGACCCCAGAAAACCATCCCGTCATCTGAACACCATGAAGTCAAAACCAAGCCAGACATCAGAGGAAAAAGGCCACATCAAGATGAACAACAGCCAGTTGTCTGTGGAATTCCCAAAGAAACTTGTCCAAAAACTCCCACAGAGAAGCCTGTTGCAGAAATCGCTGAACCCAAACCTATTAAAGTGGAAAAAGTGGATCCATCAGACACAGAAAACACTTCAGAGACTTGTGTTAGTCAGAAGGACTACAGCAAAATAGAAATCAAAAAAGACCCCGAGGAGACTGGTTCATCAGACAGCGGGCCCATGCTGGTGATAAAGACATGTGAACCTGATGAACTTGAAAGTAAACCTTCAGTAGCAGATGAAAATGAGACTTGGGATGAGTCCAAACCTGCACAGATTAATTTAGTTTCTCAGGATGATGCATGCAAACAGGTGGTCACCCTTGAACCCAAATCATTTACTTCTCCTCAACCACCTGAGAGCAAACAGAATTTCAAAAACATTCCTCCCCACTGTCTGAAACTTTCCACCTACAAAATTGTTCTCCCTGATACAAAGCATTCTGTCCTGGCTCCACCTCCGGAGAAGCCACCAGCTCAGCTGTTGACTGAATTTATACCAAAGCTAGAGTTCCAAATCCCAGTCCGCAAGCACTTTTATGAGCTGCACCATTTCCTCTGCAAACTGGTATCCAAAGCTGTGTTAGCCTCCCCAGAGCAGGAGCTCAGAACCTGGTTGTCTCAGCTGGAATTTACTGAACCTTCATCTCTGTCAACCAAAGTCCAGAAAGTGTCGTGTTTGTTGGGGGTAAAAGCTAGGGCGGTGTGGCTCAATGAGGAAATGAAGTCGGCCCTCCATAAGGTCCTCGAGAGGCTGAGAGAGTACACCACCCAGGAACGCTGTCCTTTTCCACATGTCATGCGGACAGGGGCGATATTCCTTCCTATGCTGGTAGTGAAGGAGCTGCTGTTTCCAACGGTCCAGGGCAGCTTCATCGACCAGGTCCTGCAGGAGCACAAAGTGGAACTGCGGCCCACCACGCTCTCTGAAGAGAAGATCCTCATCCAGCTTCATAAACGAGCTTGCTCCTCCCGGCTTAGGAGACTTATGTCTCTCAAACACCTGCCTGACATCTACGCTGATGTGGTCAACCTTTTCTATTACATCTCTGTCTGCAAACATCTGGGTGAGTGCGTGTTCACGTCAGAGTTACTGAGGTAGCATGTGTAGTACTGTAAATGTTTTCCTAATCATGGGTAATATAGGGATGTAAATTTTAGTGCTTAAATTATTCCCGCCTGTTTTCCAAATGGATGTTGCTCTGGGATGGTATTATGGTATTTATCTCTTTAGGTATTGTCAAGCCAGATAAGTAAGAGGTGTCACAATAAACAGTCCTGTTAAGTACCCCACATGGGGTATTGCTGGACACAACCACATATCTCACCCACGCTTGTGTAAACAAATGTTCATGAATGCGAGAGGACATTAATGACTAATGGACATTGGTCATGCATACATAAGCTGAAGGCTTTTAAAAGACTAGGCTACATTCCGATGCTTAGACGGGCAAAGTACAGTTTAATGGTCAGCCGCCTCATAAAACAGCAACTTTTCACCCAGTCATGAGTGAAAGGTATTTCAATGTGTATTTAAATAAATACTAAATGATTTATTTTGAATCATGGAAGACTGATCAATATTATATTGTTTCAGATAGTTCAACTGAATTTTGGTTCTATGTAATCTTTGTTTCTTGATAAATACTTTGAAAGAGTATTGTTTTGAAAATTTGACCATGTGATGTGCATAACATGACTGCCAACGCAACAGTGCTTCCTTCCCTTCCTTGCACATTTCTGGAAATCCCCTTTGAGTTGATGGTGTGCTTCACTGATTATAAAGCATATTTTTGACAGTTCACTATATCATCATCATCTTCCTTTAAAAGTTTTTTTAGTAGTAACATTTGCTGCATTATTGGCCCTTTTGTTAAAAAAGTATATATATATCACAACAGACAATAAATATTCAATATAAAATCCATTTATTTTTTGCAGAATCAACCTCACCTGATGTCCAAAAGCAAGTCCAGGTATATTTGTTTTTTATGTTGTCCCTCTCTTTGCTTTTTCTGATTAGAAAGCAGGGATCCTTTGTGCTAACCTTCAGTTACTAATCACAAGAAGTTGCATGATTACATTATACTTGTTATGGACGGGTGGAGGGAAGGGTGTTGCTGAGCTGAGCTATTTGTGGAAAAATGCAGCTCGCCTTCATGATTTTGTTGGATAGTATTAGTGGGCCTTAAATGGTGTAAGGCAGGCTGGAGGATCACATTACCAGAGGAAGGAAGTGACGGCCTGCAGTACACATTGGGGTTAAACTGCACTGGTACATTTTGGGCCCTCTGAAGTGGAGAGAAGTTCATGTTTTCTCAGAAAACCGTGATCATCATCTTTTCACCATCTGTGCTATTTCTTCATAGAGGGAAGTGGTACTAAATGATTGCATTTGTGAACAACATTTATCTGTGATGTTTAACATGCATCTAAAGGGTAAGGGGCGGTGTACTATGGTGGGTTTTTTTTTTGTTTGTTTGTTTTTCTTTTACGAAGCCACTGAAAACCCCAAAATGACAATGTGTGAAAGCTACAGTAACTTTTTTTTTCCAAATATTTTTGTTGTAGAAATCTGCTCCAAAACTTGTCTTAATGTGGAGAGGTGCTGTCGAAGCCTTCTGTGGCCCAGACTCATTGAACAGCACTGGCAGCAGTGCAGAGATATTGACTTCTAAATGTTTTTGAGCAGGATTGATCTCTAACCAGTCAGAGATCTTCAGTTATTTCTGCTTGATCAGTAAGTTCTGCTGCGTTCTCATTTATTGTAATTTCATAGCGACAAATATCTGAAGAGCTGGGCAGAGCGTGGTGGAGCATAGTGGAACCAGGAGAGGGAGTGCTGAGCAGAGCAGAGTGGATTGATTTGGAGAATCATTCTATCACTATCTTAAGTTACATATTGTAGGTTTTGGCTATACAGGCAATACTTGTTAGAAGGATCTATTCATTGTTTGGCTTTGGGCTTTTTGTGGGATTTGTTGACAGTAAGAAGACTGGAATATCACCTGACTTGTCCTTTAAAAGTTTCCTTTTTTTCTTTGTGTCCTTTGACAGCTGCTCTTTTAACTGGCACGTGCATTTGTTGAATATCCATTCACTACAGACATTAGTAAATCACATGGTTTGGGAGCACTTGACTTTGGTATCATCATGTCCCTTGTCCTATCCTTGCCTATCCACTGCTGTTTCATCCCTAACTGATAGCATCCCTTGTAGCAGCTGACTTTTTTCCAGCCTTTGCGTTTACTCCCACAGCCTTCTATTCTGTCTCTGCAGAAAGGGTGTTTCATGGTGGAGGATCATGCTGTCCAAACACCATATCTGCTGTTAATAGAATAGGTTCTGACTGTTCCTGTGTGTTGAATAAGCACTTTGGGAGCATTTATTTTTCAACTTGTAAGGAATGTTGGACTTTTTGGCTGTGAGCTTGCTTTTTAGGAATCATCAGTTAGGAAACGGTGAATTAAATTTTTATTTCTGAACGTCCCTCTCTGACTTTTGATTACTACATAAATTCAATACCCTCTCTAAATTTTAACATCTCATTATGCCAGCAACCTAATTTTTATAGACCTGGCATATTTTTGACCTCTGCTTATTGCTGTATTCCCTGTGTTGCAGGATTAGATGTGGATGATTCTGCTGACAGTGAAAGGGATGGTGAGGAGACACGGGAGATCAGCAGGACTCCTGTATTTTCAAGCATCGCTGCTTCCCCAGGCTCACTCTCAGAGTCACTCTCACAGAGACACCCAAAGGACCTGGAAACCAAATCATGTGCGAACAGAAATAGAAAAAGCAGGGTAAAGAGCAGCTCAAGGTTCATGTTTCTGGATAACAGTTTGTCAGATGAGGAAGAGGCAGATGACACAGAAAAGAGTGTAAAAGGACTGAACCCATCTAGTAAGCAAAACTGGAGTGCCCATCAGTCTAAAGAGACAGAAAAAAGAGGGAGTAATCACATGGCTGCAGAGCAGGATTCTTTACTTGCTCCACAAAGCACATCTTCTGAGAATTCATGGACATGTCCTTTAACCTTGGATGAACTTTCCCCATCTCCCATTGACAGAAAAATGGAGGAGTCCTCAAGTCCACAGCCTGCTGGTCAGCCCTCGGGTCCAGACAAATCTCCAGTTAAATCCAAGAATTGTTCAGGCATGATTCTCAAATTGAGGAGGATGTTTAGTGAAGGTCTTAAAAGAAAAAAGGCCCACTACAAAGCAGTATCTGACTCTGGGACAGTTACCGATCCTTCCCTCTCACAGACTGATAGGAAAGAAGAGACAAGTAGTGAGAAGGACCTTCACACGACAACACCCCAACTAACCCATAGGTTGCAGAGAATGGAAAGCTTTTCTCATGCCTCAAGACCCCTCAAAAGCTCTTCTAAAGGAAAACGCAGATCACTCTTAAAGATCAAATACTGTCCCTACCTGTCCGCCTGCCACAGCGCTGAACACAGAAGGCGATGGGTCCTGCGTTCGGCTGTCCAAAGAGCTCGGCGGGCCATGAGCTTCTACTACCCAGACTTGGTAGGAAAGAGAATCTACCATCTGTATGAAGAAGTTGACAAATCAGAAGTGTGGTACAGGGGAGAGGTGCTGGGTATCCACGAGGCCCACACCAACCCTCTAAAGACTATATTTGAGGTCAGGTATGACAGCGAGCCAGAGTGGAAATACTACCTAGAGCTGCTAATAGACTATAAAAAAGGCTGGCTCAAAATCGATGACTAGTTGTTATGCCAGATTTGCTTTTGGTCACCTCGGAGCACCAAACTGTAGTTAGTAGTTACTTGCAAACAGGCTGATAATCCCTCAGTACCTGTCTACTGTCCTCATGAATGAAGTCAGACTGGATTTTTTTTATTTTTTGGAAATGTCAGCTGCAGATTTTATCACTTGAGAGCAACACTGCAGTCTTCTTTAGGCATGAACTATAGTCCATATGCATTATCCTGTAGATACTTTTTCAGCTACTTTTTTTTTGCTTTATTCACCTATTAGAATGTGGTTAGGGGAATGAAATGTCCTGACTTTATCGTGCTTAATTTAAAAGACTGAAAAATCAACAGACCCTTAGTTGTTTTTTTTTTATATATATAACTTGTAAGCAACTATGAAGTCATGTATTTATTGTTTAATTCACCCTTGTCCACTTTTCTGGTTGTCATTCTGAGTGAAGCTAGTGACTGGCCTCTTAATTTTGCTGTTAGAAAACAAGTGAGCAAGTGTTATGAAGACAGGGTTTCACTTTCAAACTGTGCAAGCCACATGTACATAAATTTACAGAAATAGTCCATCTTGTATTTCACTATGGTAGACTTTGTGTTTCACTGTACCAAGCTTCTCATGAGGACTTGTGTTCCCATATCATAGTTTGTTTTTTTTAATGAATTTTAAATTTTCACCTTTTTAAAATAAAATTGTATAATTTTTCTAGACTGCTGCAGACTGAACTGTTAAAACCTTATTCTTACTGTTGTCTTAAATGTTTGTAATGATTCCATACTTCACGTTGTGCTTTTGAAATAATGTTTCCCAAAAATACAAATGGTTTTAATTTTGGGACTGCGTATGTTTTTTTTTTTTTTTTTTTAACTCACCTGGAGTTTTACAGGATTTCTTATGTCAGAGCTGGAGCTCACATATTAGCCAGATGAAAAATGTGGTTAACATGGTGGAACTGAATCTTCTGCATTCAAACCCGTTATAACCTCTCATCCCACAGTTGATGAATCTGGGCAATCTGTCGTTTCCCACCATCAGTGTCATATTGTCACAGTAAATAGTCTTCTTCAGGACACGGTTTTAAGACCCATCAAGTACTGATTGTGGCTTTTTTTTTATGAAAATAGCTGCTGCCACAACAAAAACATTGTGCCCATTGTCAAACAACCACCCATGCCAAAATGATGTTTGCAACATTTTGCACTTTAATATTTTCTCCAAAACAGACAACTAAATTTCCCCACATTTTTACACTAAGAGGAAATAAAACACCTTTGATAGTATAAAGAAAAGTGATGTAGAAAAGTATTAAAAGTTTTTGGATGTCTCAACTTAGTGTTAAGTAGCTGCTTTTGTTACTTCAAACACTGAACTGTTCATGAGCTACTAGCAGACAATGATAACAGAGTGAGCCCTGGAGAGCATATTAGCCTGATCATCATAGCAAAAGCTGGTATCACTACAGAACAGCTTGGTGGGAAAATAGCTCATCTTTTGTTGTTATCCATTCAACTTATCATTGGCTTGTGATTTAAGACAAAATGAATCCAAAAGTGACATCATACAAACAAACAGCTAATCTTTATTTTATAATCTGCAAGTAAATTTTTTCCTCTAAAACCAAAATTATTCAATAATGTTACTGAATTAATTCCACACCATTCTGGAAGACAACTCTGCCAAGGTCTGTAATACACTACATTGCAAAACATATAACTCAAAAATGCATCATGGATGTTTGGGGAATTAATATGACTGAGACTAAACCTATTCTAATGACTCACACAGTACTCCCAAAAAATGAGATTTCTCATGACATTTATTCAAATAAACAATACAGTTTATAATTTGCTAGGATAAAATAAGTTTTAACACATAAGAAGCATTTGGGAGAGAATTCCCCAAAGATCTGAAATCAGGGCAAATGATGTTTTAATAATGGCTGACACATTGGTGTCATCTTCTTACTTGCATTAGTGCCTGTATATTCATGTCCCCTCCAGTCAATCTTATAGAGACTGCAATATTGCAGAGACACGAATGAGCATTTACAAGCAGAGAGCTTGACAACCAGAGCAACCACCACACAGAACAATGAAAAACCTGGAGGGGCACTGACATTTCAATGTTGAATTCTCAACCTCAACCCATGTGTGAAAAAGACAGTCCTTAATGCAAAAGCATAACAGCGTTATAAAACAATCCTACAACCTTTAAAAGTTTTGCCCTATATTCCTCATCTGCCGAAGGATCGCGCAAGTCCATCTGTGTATCTTGGTTTAAAGAAATGTTCAATCTCACTGCAAGGCATCTCTTCAAAGAGACGCAGCAACCATCAGCCCCATGCTGTTCAAGTATTCCCCGCAAGAGTGACGCAAATGCCTGACCCTGTATGACAGTGATACAGCCCAATTCGCAGCACCACAAAGTTGTGCTGTCAGTACATTCTATTACCCTCATTCAATCCCCAGGGTGCAAGCTGAGCTTTAAGAGGGCGACGTCAAGCCACGTCAGGAAAGAGAGAGAGAAAAAAGAAAAAGAAAAAAGAGTGAATGTCACTCAGTTTGGCTCTCGCAATTAATTAGTACTGTTCTTAAATGTTAAACACTTCTAAAAACAAACTACGAGGGTATAGCAAAAGGTTAGAATAGAGGGACACAGGGCCGGTGCATTCAATCTCACCTTTGAACTGTAGAACTTTTCCTGCTTGTGGTTTTCTAATTCAGCCGAGTACCTTTACTGAGTCCTTTATCTGATTACTTGGCAAGTAAGAGAAATTCAGTCAGTCCCCATTTAGAGTTAATGATAAGATCTAACTTGTGCATTGCTCTGAAGAGACTGAGGATGATAGGGCGAATGCCTTATTGCCAAAGACCTCCAAACTCCCACACACTATGGAGGAAGTAAACGGACTCAACCTACATGGCAAAGGTACACCTTTTTCAATATTGGTAAGAATAAATATTTGAAAATTATGCAAACACGTGCCACTCTTGCTCTTTCCATGCATATGGACTATTTACAAATTGAAAAATACAGACTTGCTGTTTTGTTCTTTTTGATGCTTTTTCTTCTTTTCCCCCCTGAAATGTCTCTGCCCCTTTGCAATCAACATTCAACCACCCAGACAAGGATCTCACCACATATTGCAGACGTGGTCAGGACAATTAAAGCTGTGTTGAAAACTTTTTCACACTAATGGGAAAACAAAAAGTCAAAATCAAAACAGAAAAGATTCACAAGCAAAAAACAGAGGAAAAGAAAATTGTTCAGGGGAGATGTTACAATACAAGCCAAAAGGATGTATTTGTTTAAGATGGACTTTCTGCTTTCTCAAGACTCCTTTCTGTTGCTAACAATACTGTAGTACACTCTTTTTATTACTCTACTTTTTATTTAAATATAATTTACTTTGTGAAGATTTTGTTAAACAAATCCAGGAAAAAATGATGCAAAAGTAGTTGGTTTGCCAAAGGAGAGGCGGCAGAAGGCCCGTGCTGCCCTGTTAAATTGCATCAGCGCTCTAGTTTGTCAAGATACTCAAGAGTCCGTTGCATTGGGACGTATCCTCAATCCTCAATGTACTCCCACAGGTCCTTCTCATAGCCTTCATGCACGTGCTGTAGCAGCACTCTTCGCCTGCTCTCACAGTATCTAGACACACAAGAGAAATGTGGTGAGTCCAAGAAGACAAACACTGGCAGGCAGAGATTAGGATTCTTCCTTCACTGACCTGTACTTATCTTGTACTTTCTGCTTGATATCCTGCAAGGAATCCTGGGAGATGTCCCGCTCTAGGTAGCCAGACAGCACCTCAGTGGCATTTTCCAGGTCTGCCTGGTTGTTCTGATGAACCAAAAATAAGATAAACATTATTCTTTGTCACAGCATAGATTCAAAGACAGTGATGTCAGTTATCAATGCCCCCTGAACTTTGTAAAATCCTCCTTAAGGACCAGCTCAGATTACAGGAAATGTCTCATTCACTCCTCCCAACAATAAACTGAGTAATTTGGCCTTGGTCAGTCGACCATATCTGCTGCCAGAGAGGGGAAAGATAAATGGGAATGAGGCCAGAACTTCCTGGGATAATCTGCCTTCTAAGAAAAACCATTTCAAGAGAAGTTTAGGGAGCAAGTCATACCAGTCAACGGACTGGACATGTGAATGAGAAAAGATGTAAGATGGTGCTGTGCTGCTCCCTCTGGCAAGAAAAAAACAAACCAAATGTGGTTTGTTACAAAATTTGTTCTTTTTGTGAAAATGTAGTTTCATGATTAATAACAATTTTAAATATCCTGGTAATCTGAGTCTGGTTTGAGGAATTATAAGAAACCTTTTAACAGTGGAAAGTTGTAATCTGCAAGACTGATATAGGGGCAAAAGTATATAAAAACATAAGTAGAAATACTGTATAGCTGTTTTCCCAAGTAATAATAATAAATGGCTATGCAACTGTTGGAGAGTTTGATTAATCAATATAAAAACATAAGACCAGTTGAGCTATAAAAAAGTGTTTAAAAGCCATTATAGTATTTTAATAATGCTAATATTAATAATTGATTATTCAGTGCTTTTATAACCATGTTGCAAAGGTTTGATATTACAACACCGGTTAGAAATGTATGTATATCAGACACCTGTTTGTCTGCTACTGAGGTTAGTTGAAATGTGCCCTTAGACAGTTTAGCCTAATGATTAATCAACATGATTTTGGTGCAGATCTAGTTCAGGGGTTTTAGAGCAATTTCTTTTTTGTGTGTAGTGCATGTAGCACCACAATCACTGTTACTAAACACGGTTCTATTATGATGATTAATTCTTTATTTAATTATTTCTTCATTTTTGTAATTACTGTCTTGCACCGCCTGCTTACATTTATGACATCTGAGCCAACATTTTCCCTTTTATCATACCTCAAAAATAATGGACTGGTTGTTCTTCTTGAGGTAGAAGGCAAAGACGTAAGTGAACATGAGTGTGGAGCGGCACTGGCACAGCACATCCACAGCCTTCTTTAAAAACTGCACCTCAATCCAGGACATGTTGTGTTGCTGCATCTCCTCCATCTTCTGCTTGACCTGAGCATAGAGCTTGTGTTCAAAGCGCAGGCTCTGCATGTGGTTCATGTAGCGATTGCAGTAGAACAGGTACCTTTGCAAGGCTGCCCTGGAGCGCTGCACACACAGCATGGAACTGGGTTTAACTCAAGCATGCTCAACCTTTACTTGACAAGAAATAACTCTTCAGACTCACTCAATCCTGGATCACCAGAAACATACTATATATGGAAATGTATCATTTGTATTCTGTAAGTGTTTCAGGCAAGATGCTATTTTTGGGTGTGCAACAATTAACCATATTTGTCAAGTGTGTAATAGACATTTGCTATCAGCACCACAGCAGCATTTCCTGTACTGTTACCAATGTTTCTAGGGTTGCAGCAGTATACCAGTTTCATGGTATACAATGATATAAAAATTGCTGGCTATCATACCATGCGCATTCGCTTATTACCACCACTGAAGGTGGGGGGGGGGGATGCGTGTGCATCCCCTTTCCTCCCTGACTCACTGAAGTGACCTTCAGTAGCATATGCAGGACAGAAATGGCAGAGAGAGAGAGAGAGAGACTGATATCTCCAATCTCCATACCCCCAAAAATAACTTAAAATCAGCAGTGCAGGATTACTATGGGTATCCCAAAAGCAAACACCTTCTAGAGCACCATCCCTACAATCAGATCAAAGTATGTGCCCCATTTATAACTTTAATCCCTACTGAAAAAATGTGAACGTTTAAACATTGGTCAT